AAGAAACAGGGCTGCTAGTGTAAGTGATGGTGCACCAGCAGGTGGCGCTCTTCTTCGTGCACCAGGTGGTATCCAGGGATGCTGTATGTCAGATGTGGCCAAGATCCTATGGAATAGCTCTCAAGAGTAGGGGGTATTAACCCCATAGTCCCGGCTACATTTCACAACTGGATTAACACAATCTGACCTCCATACATTAACCCCTAAATCAAATGAAGAAATGTTTTTTTTCCCCCTGATCAGCTGTGCAGTGGGATAGCTAAAAATGTACGAAAGGAATATTGCTTGAATAAATAAAAATTTATTTCAGCAGTACAACAGTCCAAGAACTATCAATAATATTCTTATAATAATATCATACTATCAATAGTATCATCCAGGTGGATGTTGCACATTGGTGGTGGTGGAGGGGAGTCCCCATTACCTATAAAGCGCTTTGAGTGACGTGTCCAGAAAAGCGCTATATAAGTGTAAGCAATTATAATTATAATTATAATAAACACAGGACACTAATAAGAAATTACTAGACCAGGTATGTCACCTACACATTTGCTGTGGTAGGCCAGATTGGATTTAAATGTACATCTATTAGGCTATACATACTGAAATACTATGTACAAACTTTATATTGTATTATTTATGTTTTGCATTTTATGTTTATTTTTACAACAAAATGCTTTCCTTTAAAATACAACTAGCAGTCTTTGCATCTTCATTAGAAGTCAGTTCAGCAAAATCTTCTCACTTCACTTTAAGTACGTATTTTTTTTAGCATTATTAACTGCAGAAATTAAAGTATCATTGCCGTGATGATTGCAAACTACCTAAATCTGTGTTCTGTGGAAAACAGCTTTATTGGGACATCTTGTTTAATAACTAATGAAAATAAAGGAGCAACCACATACACCCACGCCTGTTATATCAACATTTGATTTAGGCAAATTGTACTGCAAGGAAACAAGTATTTGAATTCCTGGGTTTTCCTGGGTGATCCCACTTGCTTAGCAATATTTATTTAATCGTTGAACATCCTCCTTAGTTTTAACATCACGTGGGCAAAACATGTTGCTAGAGTTTCAGCCTGATATTCAGAAAAGCAAAGGATTACCTTCAATGTAGCAGCACTGTACACACGTTCTTGCATATTTACATATGATAACAGATGAGGGGGGAGAGGTGTTTGGATTGATCAAATTAGTCACAACTACTGAAGGTCCTGAGACCAGCTTGCTATGCAAACATATGAAAGAGTGAATTAGATTTAAAAAGATTTCGATAAAACTCAAGACCCGACTTAGCTAGAGGAGACTACCTATGAAAATGATGTAGGTGTTTATGTTGAGACATCATCAACATCAAAGGATGATTTATTTAAATTGTATAATGCTCTTGTAAGGCCTCATTTACATTAAAGTGTACAATTTGAATTGCCTAGGAATAGAAAACAGAAGACATTTCTTTGGTCTATGGGTTATGGGAGTGTGGATCAAGCTGCCCAGCCATTTTGTAGAAACTCTGACTTTTCTCAAGAAACAGCTGGATGAGATCCGTGGAGCAATTACCTATTAACTATTAAATAGACTAGATGAGCCGAATTAAATCCTCTCATTTGTAACCAGTATGCTCTTATGGAGGAAGTTAAAGGTTGATTCCCTGCTGAAAAGAGAAGAAAGGAAACACAACGTTTCAACAGATCTCTTCACAGTGACCTGTTCCAAGATAAGGCTTTCTAACCACCTCCTATTCCTTTACAGATGTCAGTGTTACAATATCATTCTTAAAGGCTTTCACCTGAAATTTAACACTTTTTCCTTTGACTATGACACCACCCAGAGTAACAGAGACTTCTACAACAATTTTCTCAGAAACTAAAGCCGACACCCGAAGAAGGCTCCACAGCCGAAACGTTGTGTTTCCTTTCTTCTCTTTTCAGCATGGAATAAACCTTTAACTTGTGCCTTTGCAGCCTACGCATGCTGACGCAGCTCCCTACTTGTTCTTATGGAGGCTGATCTGGAATCAAGTCAGAGGAGAGTAATGAGGGTAACCTAAAAGGATTGCATTCAAAATTTTAAAAAGGAACTGATAAAACCAAAAATGAAATAAAGAACCAGAGGACAAAACTCTAAACTGAGGGGAAATGCATTTCAGACTGACACCGCCTCTTCCCACAAAGGGTTGTGGGAGTTTGGAAGAAGCTACACAGCCACATTGTTGGAGCTGATACACCAGCTTCTTTCAAGAAACAGCAGGGGACTATGCTTAGATCATTCAATTACTATAACCAAACAACTTAGATTGGCCGAACATTGTCCTCCTGTATGTAAACTTTGTTATCTTATTTCCTCCTGACTAGGAATTCTGGCCTTCATTTCCTGCTGACAACAGAGATACCACCTTTTCTTCCCTTTAATTTACAGTGTTAACTTATGGAAATACACATGTTCACAATAAACCCTCTGTTCCCCATTAAAAGACAGAGAGGATTTCCACATACAGCACCTTGGACCTACTTTCTTTAAATGTTCATGAAACTCAGGATCACCCTTGAGGAATGTCATAAAATGCTACCTGAAGTCGTCTACTTCAAATTGAGGTATAGGGTAACAGTTGCATTGGTTGCTCAGTGAGCAGGCCTACGAAATTAAAATTGTGAACAAATCAGATGCAAAAGAAAGTTCACATAAAGGTCAAGTACACTGCATACCATCCACAATCAGGGTGATGTCAGTGAACTGGTCCAGTTGCCGCTGTTCATTGAGCCTGTCCAGCATAACCTTGTAGTGATCTGGAAATTCACTCCCATACTCTACCACCTCTTCTTCAGACATGATTGAGTACTCTCCCTGGAGAGAAAACAAAATAAATTAGAAATGGCACTTCTCTCGCTAATGTTAGCAGTGTCCCGGTTTCCATTTATCGGAAACCGGTCCCAGCGAACTACTGAAAGAGTGTAGAAGATAGAACAGTATGCAGTCTCGATATGGTCGGAACAAAAGGTGCATCGATTAAATCAATGTCTGCACGCTATATGTACTGCCACAGTGTTGCACAATGGGGCTGTGGCTAGCATATCTGCCTCGCAGCTCTAGGGCCCTGGGTTCTGTTCCTAGAGTGCTATCTGCGTGGAGTTTGTATGTGCTCTTCGCAGTTGCATATCTTTTCTCCTACAGTCCAAAGACATACTGGTAGGTAAAGTGGCTTCTGGGACAATTGACCCTGTGGTGAATGTGTGTGTCTGTGTGCCTCCTGCAATGCAATGGCGTCCCATCCAGGGTGTAACCTGCCCTGCCCCCTCTGCTTGCCAAGATAGTCTCTGGGATCCCCCACGACCCTGTATTGTATAAAGCAGCTAGAAAACAGATAGATGGATTTTATCTATTGTCATATATGTTGCCTATATGGGCAGCAAGAGGAGACCTCAGTTATTTTGAAAAAGGTTGTTGAGGTGCATTTTGCAGGCGCTTCAGTGACCCTGAAAGCTCAACCTGCTGATGTTTCACAAGCAGCAGTGTCTAAGGTGATGTCAGCATGGAGCTCTGAGGGAAAGACATCAGCAAAGTGCACCAGCGGCCAGAAGCACACACTCCAGGATTGTGAGATCCGCATTCATTGGAAGCAGCGTAGCAGCTGCAGATCAACCGGGGGCGCGAGCAGCCATTTTCAGCAAAACCACTCAACCCAAATCTCCACAGAGTGGGAAACCACAGTCAAGTTGGACAGCACAAACTGCTCATCACAGTTGGCCATTCACATTTGCAAATCCAGTGGTGCAAAGAGCACAAGCAAGGGCCGTGGAGAGAGCTGATATGACGAGGTGAATCATTCTTCACTATGTTCGCAACAAATGGACAAGTGCACATTTGGTGCCAATCTAAAGATCTGTACAGATCTCGGCTCTAGTGATTCTGTAATGCTGTAAGATGAACTCTCCTAGCATGATTTTGGTCCACTCATTCCCTTAGGGGGCAAGGTCAATACTTATCTCTGCTTAACGGCAGCTTAATGCTTGAATGTAGCAGCACTGTGCAGTTCACTGGTTTACAATATTTATATATAATAACGAACAAGGGGTGTTGAAATGTAAAAAAAAATGATTTATCAAATTAATCAAAACTAGGTCCTGAAATCAGCTTGCTATGCAAGCCTATGAAGCAGCAATCGAAATTCTAAAAATTGAAGATATAGCAATTCAAGGCTGGGCAAACACCTGGCTCAGACAAGTGATTTTACCTGTGGCAAGTAGTACAAACAAACCATGAATACAAACTAGGAAACACTTAGCTGGAGGAGACGATGATGGTTTAGTCGTTAATGTCGTCACGTCACATGATTTACATCTAGACAAAGTTCACAATTTAAATAATAATGTTTGATTAAAACTGTATAATGCACTAGTAAGGTTTCATTTAGAGTAAAGTGTATAATTTTCATCACTAAGTTATAGAATACAATGTTTACATTATCTGGGAAAATAGGTTGCGTTTTTAAAGTATAATGCCCCACAGTAAGATAAGGCCCTTGTCGCACTCTAATTGCTGTAGCTGTAAGGTTTATAGAATAAATTATTTTGTGCTAGTGGGCTCAAAATCCTGGACTGAGCTTATTCGTGTTTTTATTAAAGCAGTATCTTTAACGTGGTACGTAACAGCTGAGTTTCCCCATCCAATTCCCCCATTTAATGTATAACTGCAGGATTCAGCATATCGCTCTCGTGGAAAGAAAATACATATTTTAAGAAAATAAGACTCCTTACAGTGCCAGATGTATTTGATATATTTTTAGAGAAACAGCGGTAACTTGTACATTATATATTGTTGTGCACAAACCGTACACGAATCCCGTGATAAAACTGAAAGCGAGATATTTGCAACTTCTCTGAAGGTTATTTGTACCAACGTAAGATATGTCCCGTCACCTAAAATCGTTGCATAATATTTTCACCACATATTATCAGTAAAACACCCACATGCAGAAATCCGCATTTAAAGAAATCTTGCACTCGCAGGAATGGAAAACGTAACTTTGAAGACGGTTTCAACACCGGCTCGTCCACAAGTTCAAACACATCTGATCAAGCACACAGTCAATCAAACTATCATCCAACCACAATTGCCAAACCAGGAGGAACCGCGGCCAGTCTGCCTCACATTGTCCAATCACAGTGTTCAGAGGTGTCGCGAATGTACAAAAACGACCAATCGGAGCGTGAGTGGGCGGTTCACACACTGCAGAGCTTCAGCGAGGACTTGGAGCGGAAGGCCCTTTACCGTTCTCCAGAACAGTGAATTAAAAACACTGATAACACTAAATGGAGTAAAGTATTATTATCTGAATAAGACCAGCGCGTATCAATATCGGAATCTTTACACGTTACTGGAGATCGAAGGGTAATAAGCGGTAACATTACGCTATATTTGCATTGTAGGCCTGTTGACGAGCTCACTGTTTGTTGTTTGACCACCTACATTACGTCATCAAATCGCGCATTAAAAATCTTCTTTTTAACGGGCAGATTGTCACATAAACCGGTCTCACTTGAGTTCACTCACATAACAGATCGGTAGGCTCACCTCTCGTTAGGTTCCAGTGCTTTTCGCAAATGTTTTTGGTGCTAATTCTCCCCCAGCACTCCCTCTGCCTCTTCCCTGCCGAGCCACAGAAAAAGGGCGGTCGCTTCTCTGTAGGGCCTCGGCTTCCCAGGAGCCTTAGCGAAACAGAGGAGAGAGGGAGCTGATTGGTGTTGCTGGGCAACCGCAGCTCAGCCTTGCTTCCGCTGTCAACTATACTGTACAGTATTATTGCAGCATTTTTAAAAGCTACAGTTTTCAAGCTTCAGCTGATACATGCTTCAAAAACACTGGTAGATACCGGTAGAATTCAGAGGTTATTAACTGAAAAAGGTAGATGAAACTTTTCAGAGACATCTTGAAATTATTGGACTACTTCACAAGTAGTCTAATACATTTGTGTACATTTTGAAAAATGTTCCTTTTTTAAAAATTCCCACTATATTTCATGGAAGGAACTTGGGTTAAACCTTTTCTGACTAAAAAAGCATAAACTCTTAAACTGTCAATTTTAAAGATAGGTCATTTAGTTTGTGGTTACACTAGCTGCTAAGAATAGCTAATGGTGTGATTCTTATCCCATTTCTTAATAAGATATATTGGCTATATATTTTGGGTTTTAGTAACTGTCTTACTTTTACTTTATGGTTGCAACTAACAATGGTAGCAGCAGAATAAATTCTAAAGTTTACAGAACCATTTGTCTGCTTATCTGGAGGAAAATGCTTCCATACAGTAGTTACTGTATTGGGTGGTGTTCAGCATGACAATACCCCAAGACAGGTAGCCAGTGCAACTAAGTAATTTATAAAGAGAAAAAATTGAACATCTTAATCATTTTCAAAGATTAATCTCAGTAATAATGAAAATCTTAAAAGCATGATTTAATTACAGAAAGCAATGTAAAAGCTTGCAAGGTGAAATGCAGCAGCCAGGCTAGCAAAATATAACATATTATATACTGAACATCAAAAGTTACTTGTCACTTTTTTCTGTGCTGTATGTATTGTTTAGAAAAATAAAAGTAGACATCTACATATTGATTAAAAGGCATTTGGTGTCATTTAACATGAGTGACTTTGACTTGCATCAGCGCTAAAAACACAAACAGAAAGTTGATGGGGCGAAGCTGATTAGGTGATTTGACTTGTTGAACGACAAGCCTAGTCAAAATCAGAAGAACACAGAAAGGAACCAGTCTGCCCTGCTTATCAAGGAAACAACGCCTTAATGCTATCAGTAGGTTGGAGCAGTACCTCAGCAGGACTCACCAGCAGTGCATTCAAGTCCTCTAGCAATGAATCAAGGAGTTGTGTGATCACCCTGACTGTCCTGACAGACCTCAGACATTCTGGATGATGGCTAAATATTATGCACAACCAACCAATTGACATGGAAGTCAAAATGTGATGGCTGATGGGAACCCTACTGCAAAGCACAATGTGAATAAAGTCCACAAACCTCAGTTGCTGCACTCTCTGTGGCTTCATCCTAACGTGACAACATTGCAGGAGATGTTCTTATCTTGCTCATGGAACACAGGCTTTTTGGGAGTTGAGATATAGATGGTTATGCCATGGATGCCACACATGCTAGACATAAGCTCCAGTGAAAGGAAGTTTGTAAGACAGTTTACAAAAGAGAGGTTCTTCTAGTCCATTTGATAGTAACTAATTGAGGATATCATCCATTTTTTCTTGAATGAAGCCAGGGTATCGACCTGGATAATAGCTGAGTATTTCGTTCCCAGAACTCCCTTGTGAGTTGAACTGGGGATGATGTCTGGCATTTAGGGCTCAGAGAGCAGTGAACAGGTACGGTACATGCTTGTCTAAGCTTTACGAGAGGACAAGAAAATGTACACAAGAAAATATCTGAGACCTGATGCAAAGCATGCATTACAGATATGTATCCAACATATAATAGCCTGTAACTTTCACAGTGGATGATGACAAATTTTGAATTTTACTCTTGTCGTGTCTGTTCATGAAAAAGAATTGCATATGATACAAAAAATGTTGTCATTTTCCTGATTGCAGCTTTGTGAATGTGTTGCTTTTGTGAGTGATGTTTCTTTTCATGTTCATTATATCTAGACTATAGCTCTTGGCTGCTAGGTTAATGGTGATGGCATGTGACATTTTTATTTTAAATCCCTTCATTTCTGTCATATTCTGATTTATTCTGGCTACATAATATATATTAACTGGTCACTGGCCCACATTTTTTTTATTCCTAGTTCCTGTACTTCACATTGTTTTTACTTAACTTGTTATTAAAAATAACAGATAAATCTTTTTATTCTCTGGGCTACTGTTTAATCATTCCTTGTTGAACCTACCACTACTTAATTTATTGGATTTAAACAGTCATTTTCATCCCAAAGAATCTGAAAACTGTACTTATAGGAGGCAGCTTCATCCACCATTAACAATTAGTTAAGCAGTTCAGTTAAGGTGGAACTTCAGATTGTACAGAGAGTGAAGTAACAACCCAGCTCTCTTGATCTTATGAAAGTGCCATAGGACCTTTAGTCACCAAATCAGCAGGACCTTAGTGACAGTGTTGTACAGTATGTTAGTGTTGTGTTTTACTTTGCTTAGAATGCTGAATAATCATCCATCATAGTTAAACATTTCTAGTCAGGATTATTGCATTTGGAAGGACAAAGGAGAGAGCTCTATAATCTTTGTTCAGATACTGATCCATGTCAATAGTTTTTCACCTTTCAAGGTCTAGCTTAACCCCATATGCACTAGTTATTCTAAAAGTGGAATTGAAGAGAAAACAAGACAACAACATTATTTGTTTTCCGAAATAAACAATATACTGTAAATGATTCCTAATCAACTTGGGTGGGGAATTGTTTATTTGTTTCTGTTAATGTGTGGAATGACATCAAATGATATGACAAAACAATCATAAATCCTGGAGGAAAGTAATTTAGTGCCACCTGCAGATGAATTATCTGACATCTTGGAACTACTGACTGTAAACTCAAGGACCATGACAAAAATGTTACAAAATGCATTCCTTTATTTGTAAACCAAAGCTTCCAAATAGGTATACAAATTATACAGATATCAGGAGTCTGCATTTAACATTGTAAAGAAGGGGAGCAAACCCAGCTGTTCATTAAGAGCCTTATGTGTTATAATCACACTTAGAAGGATATGTGTTTGAGGTGAATCACCATTCAGAACCATCTCCTGACGTGATATACAGTAATTTACAGTGATTGTTCCGTGTTCTAATATGTATTGAAGAGCTTTATAAAATAATAGAAATAATACTTTTACATGATTTCTAATGCAGTATTACCTTCCATGATCAGCTCAAGGTATTTTTGCAGTAAAAAATAAACAAAAAAGACATACAGTATAGAAAGAGTAATATAATAAATGATAAAGAAGCTAAAGCTAGAGTTTAAAACATGACTTTAAGATAGGATTTGAAAGTGCTGACATCATTCCACAGCCCTGTAGAAACAGAACAGAAAGCAGTCTCTTGGTGTTTATAGCCTCGCTTTGAGAACTAATAAGAGGCCAGAGTCCAAAGAGCACACTTGCTGTTCAAGTGCATAGGGAGATAACAGTTCATTGATACAGTCAGGAACCTCAGTCTTAAAGGTGAGCAACAGTATTTTGACTTTCATTCTGAAATCCACAGAAGAGGTGAATTCCAAGGAAGATAAAAAAGCTGATTTATGCAAATGAATTTTAGTTTGATTTATGAGCTGTATAGCTGAGGTATGAACATGCCTCAGCATGTTAAGAACACATTTTTAGACACTATTAATGCAAGGCTTGTATCAAAGAGGACACCACGATTTGATCGTTAAGATTAGTAAGTGGACTTAATACAGGACCACCGATAGTAAACTAAGATTGGAACATTTGTGGATGTAGAACATTTGTATATTTTCTATCAGGAAGACAGAATTTAAACAACATAACAAAACAGTTCCCATAATAATAGAAAACCCAATCTATTCAGCAACATGGCATGATCAACAGTATCAAAGGCTGCACCATGGTCAAGTAGGATAAAACTATAGTCAGCAATTCAAAGGTGCTCATTAATAATCCTTAAAGCTGTTTCTAAAGTCCGCATTGATCTGAATCCAGATTGAAATGGCACATTACGTTTGGATTCAGATAATTGAGCTTGTAACTGAACAAACCTATTGTAGAATTTTGTTTCAAACATGGTAAGTTATATACTGGATGAAAATTATGAGAAAGGCTGGAGACTGGCTTCTTAACAGAAAGATAAGCACTGCTGTTTAAGAACAGAGGGAACAATTCCATATTCTAAAGATTCATTGAGGATATGTGTGACACCTGGAATCCAAAGAACACTGGCTGGGTTTCATTCTAGTGATCATTAAGTGCAAAAATAGATACTCCATGAGAGTCTACAAGGTACAATGCACTAAACTTGAGAATACATATTTTGTCTTCTATAATAATTACAACGAGATACAATCAGAATCAAGATGTTATCAAGTTTAGATCCAAGAACCTCAGAATAATTTCAGTAGACTGTAGACTCTTCAAGATTGCTATTCTTAATTGTAAGACATTTATTTTAGAAATGAAAGTTCTAGCTTTACAAAAAACTGGCTTCAGACTTATCGGTTGGATTTCAAACCGCAGTTGTTTTTTTCCCCCTTACTTATTATGACTTTTTATGATAAAGTTAAAACGGTTTTCTGCGGATTTAGCTTTAGTAAAGGTTTTGTTGTTCTTTGTCAAAGTAGTTGTCTCGGGTTACAGATTAACACACCTATGTCACATGTATCAGCTGATTCCTGTGGTAAACACTTTGACAAAGTGCTTTTTACTTATCTCTGCAGTTCTAAAAATAAAACACAGATACTGCAGAAGAATTAACATTTTTCTTTGCCAGGCAATGTAATTTTCAGTTAAAAGGCTTTTATTACAATATTCTGTCCCGATGTATATGTTTATACAAACACTAGGGTTTAAGGCATCCAAAGACTGAGGATTTCTCTGTTGCTCTCCAAGTTAACACAAAAAGGTATAACTGTATATCGAGCAAAAATGAAGATTTATCCAACAAACCCAGCTTTACTTCAGCAGCCCTAAATAAGTTCAGATGGAAATATTTATTATGAACATAATGGTTTGTCTCCCAGCAATCAAAGTTGTTTAACTTGATTTCGGTGCAAATATTATTTGGCCCTGTAAGTGCCTTCAGTTAGATATTGAATTTCAAACCATGCCTCATAGTATAAGATATATCATGCCAACCATAAAGAACAAGGAGCTGTTGAAACAAGTCAGGGATAAATTGTTTGGTACAGAAACACAGATAAGTAAAAGAGTACAAGAAACAGAAGAGTTTGTCCTACAAGGCAATTATACAACACAAGAGTACGAGTGGCAGAATTATGTTATGGGGATGTTAATCATCAGCAGGGAGTGAGACACTTGCTAGGTGTTAGGGTTGAGGGAAAAATGGATGTTACTAAGTACAGATGAATCCAAAAGGAAAATCGGCTTAAGTAAAGGATCTAAAATTGGGTTGAAAATTCACATTTTAAAAGAACAATGACACAAAGCACAAGGTCAAAGTCACACTGACAAGATTAATAAGTAGAGAGTGAATGTGAAAATCCTAACCTGAACCCAACAGAAAAGTGGTGGAAAGCCTAGAAGATAGTAGTCAACCATCAACCAGCTTGTGTGACCTGTAGCAGTTTTGTGGGGAATAACAGGCCAGAAAATCCATCAAATGTCTATATCTGAAAAGACTCATGGCAGTAATTGCTGCCGCAATACTTTCTTCCAAGTACTGATATTTATGTGGCAGAAAACTTAAGCAATCAGTAAGTTTTAATTTGTATATTTTCTGTAAATGGTTTGCCGATACAGTGTTGAAGAAAAAAAAATAATTTGAAAAAAGCTTGTGAACATTATTTGCAATGTGTCACAATAGAACACTGTGGGTAAAAGGTAAATATTTTTTGGCACTGTATGTACTATATACAAAATAATACAACTTACACAATAATTGTCATTTACAAACATGTAGAAACTCATACTATGTAAGTACAAAAAGATGATTTATTAAATGAGATCCAAGGCACAGATAATAAGCCATCATATTGCTACAAACAAAAATGTTTCTATGAGATCAGAGTGCAGGAATGCAGTCTGTTTTTCAGGGGTCATCTGAAAAAGAACAGCTTATTAAATGATAGGATGGGTGAAATGGGAGAGAGACTGAATAACAGTCAGAAAGAGCAAAGGCCATAAAGGAGATAAGCATAACAGAGAGGACCAGAATGATCATCTCAGGATGAGAGAATAGATTTGAAAACGATGTAATCAAGAGAGGATTATGGGAAATCAAAGCACAGGAAATCAGTCCCCAAAACAATGGAAGGCTGAATGCAACATAATAGCCAGAAGAGTCAATAAGGGAGAACACAAACAAAGGGACGTTCAGAACATAAACAGCACAAGAGAAACAAATAACTTTAATTTTTTTAACACAAATGTATGGGATACATTCCAGTAATAAGCACATATATTATATTACTTCAATTTAAAGTTTATTTCAATTTCAATTTAGGCTTATTGAGTGTCTGAGTAGTATGGAAATGACCAAACAGTATATTAAGATTAAGTTTTTAGTATCTAAGTGTTTAATGAATAACAAAAGAACAGGTAAATATTTGATCGTGTCCCACTAAAGAACGAAAACGGCCTGGTTTCAATCAGTATCTGTGAAAGACTTTGCTCAGAGAATTGAGTCTGATCTTCAACAATCAGCAGACTACTCCACTGAAACTAGGGAACCGGTAAGTTAAAGGACAGGTCATGCACTGCATGGCCAAAGTTTTACCAGGCCATACAAGAACATCTGTATGATATATCTATGTAATTTATTGAGACTACAGTCATTAGATTATGAGAAATTCAAGGAAGCAACAACCCACGTGTCGGCAGAATGACTGAAATTTGCCATCTGGTTGGAAATTGTTTGCATGCTCAGAGGCCGTTAAGAGGTAACACGTTTACAGCTGAGGGAGAAAATCACTGCTTTATGTGGGTCAGAGAACATCTGAGAGTGGTGGTGTTTTTCATATGTTGATAAATTCTGTTTTCTATCAGACCACCTTGAGGTGAGTTATATCGTCTGTTGTGTTTTTCACAACTAAAAGTACAGCTGGGGAGAAATATTATTTAACACAACAATGTCCAAAGGGTAGATTATGGACAGCCTTACTGCTCAGTGATACATTGACAGAGTTCTTGAATCAACAAGTTTTTTTTTTCAGGTTTTGCAAGCCAGTCTGAAATTGTCTCTTTTCCAGCAGGATTATACAAAACCAAACAGAAGGTAAGATAAAAAAGAACATCACCATATAGGTTTCACAGTTCACAGTCAGGGAATTAGAGTTAGGGTCTAGTTGGTAAAAAAATAAAAGCTGGCTTATTAAGCTTTATATTATATATATGATATTAATGACTCATATGTGATTCTCATTGGATGTACAGGTTGGTAAATACAGACAATATCATACAATTTTAAGTGTCATGTTGAAATTTATGCTCTGTTTTGCTTTAATTATAGGCCATGAGTAACTCACCCAGGTAGCCTATGTGGTAACTTCACCACAGGTAACTGTGCCGAAGTGAACTTCAAGATAGTTGGGAAAATAAACATCCTATCTAGTGTGGATTTCCCTCAGATATTCTGAATTTGGTCATTCATTTATTAATATGATTTGTACTTCATACAAAACCCCAAAAGTATGTGTTCAGATCTAGACTGTAATATAGCTCGACAGGGAGGCCCACTGTCACCTCTGTTGTGCTTAATCTGGAGTAATAACACAGGCTTTCTAATCCAGATCTAATAGATCGAAACATTCTATTTCATTTTATAGTGATCACATAGTCTTGATTCTTTCTGATATTTATGTCCCAATTGTTTTAGATATTCTGATAATTATGGTAAGTGCTTGTGATATGAAACAAATTGTGCACCATTACAAGTTCTCTCCCCCCTATTTTTGTTATTTTGTTATATCCCCCTAATATCCCTATTCAGTTAGACCTTTCAGGTTTTATTCATTTAATCATTAGTATTTTCCCCATTACATGTTACACTGCATGGTAGAATATCCATTTTATAAATGTCTATACTACTCTTTACTTAATGAAGATGACAATACTGCTGTGGACTTTCACATAGTCTTGTGATAAGAGTCTTACTGTAGCTGAAATCTCTGTCATGTGAGGCTAGGAGAACAGCAAGAATCCTTACATAGGTATATTAACTTGCTAATATTAAAGAAAAATGTACGCCTAAATTACATTGCTTATCTTTAAAGTACTGTCTTTAATTGACAAAATATTAAAATATCTCCCTTCCCTTTAGTTTTGTTCCTGTTAGCTTTATTTTCCCTTTCCCTTTTTTCTCTTTCCTTTTTATTTTTGTTATTCTTTGTATATTTGTATTATTATTTCCTATTCCAATATTAGATCTAAATATATAATATCACAACAAAAAATATCTGTCACCGTTCTTGCATGTTGTACAAAGGTGCTATCCTGACAGGTTAAAGTCGTTAACAAAATAAACCCAACGGACTTCTTTAAGATAAGCAGTGATAAACAAACCAAATGACAGGAGTGGAAACTAAGGGAAAGTTCTTTTAAGACTGGCAACAGGAGGCACTTCTTTACGCAAAGAATTGTGAGAGTCTGGATCACTCTACCCAACCCTATTGTTGATGATGATGCTCTAACGTCTGGACAAGTTCCTTAGATCAATCAGCATCCAAACAAACTAAATGGGCTCAATACCTGTCTCTCCTTTGTAACCTTATCTGATTATGTTCTCAATTACCACATCATATACCACCTTTTATAGACCGATAATCTATATGTAGTGAACTTTTGAACTTCTATGTGAAATATGTTCTCATGGACCAAGACAGTGCTTTCCAGTGGGTGCTACAGTGTCTTAGTGTGACTGCCAATAACTCCAATAAATTAGTATATTATTGCACTGTTTTCACAAAACAGTTTAGGAACACTTCAAGGAAGATGTTTGGGAGAAAAAGATGACTTTCTCATTTAGGGTGGGTGAATTTGTTTACCTTAGGTTTGCCTAGATAAGGATACATACTTTAATTGTTCCTCCATAATGAAAACACTTTTCCTCTCAAAATCTGCCATCCTTAGAAGCATAGCTTTTAAAATCAATTGCACTGGATTAAAGGACTAGGTTTAAATAGACTAGAAGCACCCAGCACGTTATAGTGGGTTATTAATTGGTTAAGTTTTTCTAAGTGCTACGAGCCCCCTTTCTCCATTTCCTCTCTGTGAAAAACAAAAATATGAAGACACAGCAGTTTCTAGCAGGAATGTAAATTTCTGCATCAGAAAAGTGAAACATAAATGTGGTTGGTTGTGCTAGTTCTGCTTTATACATGTGTTTTTGTTAATGTTTGCAGAAATCCACCAGTGTATCTGCAGAAAAGAAGAACAGATTGTATGTCTTCCAATGCCTACAGAGGAGTGACTGAACTTTGCCCTATATCCAGACTTGGAAAAACAAGTGGGGTATAAATGGGGGGAGCAGTAGGAGGGATTGTTTTTCTTGAGAAGAAGACAGGACGAGACTGAAGTGCAGACTTCCAGAGAAGGTAAGAAAAATGCAAATATATGAATGTTTTATTTTTACCATTAGGTTCAAACAAAATAAGAGTGTGAGGGTAATTAGCACAGCCTTATGTTCTGGAATGTGTGAACAGCTGTCAGAGACATGTTTTTTAGTATTTTAAGGTCTCTGGTTTATTTCAAAGATTTGCATTGATACATTTTATTTACTTTGTAATACACCATTTAGAGATTTTGGACAGACTATAAGACAAGTGGCATTTACAGATAATTATTTTAAAAAATCTTATTAAATAATATCTCATTTTAAAATGTTTTATGGAAAAGCTATTTAAAAGAATTTACACTGCAAAACGATTTTTTTCATTTCTTCAGAGTGAATCAAATAGTATTTGAAAAAGATTTTCATGAATCTAAAATGAATTCTATTTCTCTAAAATATGTTTTTTT